AAATAGACAAACGTGAAACTGCTACAGATAAATTAGACAAAGTCGAAAACTTTATATAAAAAAATAAAGAAAATTTAGTAGTAAAGAAGCAGTTTTTGATGAAATGTTCAAACCTAACTGTAGCAAAGTCATTTAATTTTGAACCTCATCAATATTTGAGCAAAAAGTTATAAGAGCTGATCTGGTACTTTGTTTCAATTTTGACTGATCAGTTTTAGGTGATATTGATTTATGGAGCAAACATAATCAGTTGCAACGATGTACACTTTCAATCTATAACATTACCAAACTTCCTTATTTGTGGGCTAGTGAAGATTTATCGTTGGGAAAAGTTACAATTAATGCGTCAAAAATGATGATAAATCTTCTTTGCTTTTGAAGTTCACTCTAAGTACAAAGCCTTTCTTATTGGTTGTCGGATTCCTACCAAAATATTACTAAGCGTTCTCGTTAACAAACTGTCATTAACCTACAGGTCGTTTATTGCATATAATTCCTTAGACATTTTCGGTTTATTATGACTTTAAAAAAATACTATTTGCCACTTTTTATAATTCAAAAAAAAATTTTCAAAGTATCTCTGATTGTAGAAATCTTGAAGCTAGCTGCCACATCTGATTAAATTAATTAAATTCAAAAAGTTTGTCGTTTTTTAACTTTTTTGCCTTTCTTGAATTGTGCAAGGTTAATTCAAGCAACTAATTCAGAACATCTATTCTTTAATTAGAAAATTCATATTTTTAAAGTCGATTTGATGCAAGAAATGTCCTGATCATTGAAAGCACTTATTAAAGTTGGTGTACTAGTATTGTTGGTGGTGTTCCGCCTTGAACTGAATTTATGACAAAGCAAATTAACAGGTGTAGAGTAAAAAACTTTCAGAAATTTGATAGTTTTTACTACAAAGCTGACGAATATAGACTTGAACGTCGCTAAAATTTTATGAATTTTGTGGACTTTAAAAAAGGCGTGCTATTGAAAACGTTTTAATTAGGAAGTATTGTTTTACGATGCTTTAAAGTTACAAAGATTTGCTGACAATCGCTTCAAAACAGTGAAAATTTTGGTAAACATAAATTCGAACTGTGTTCACAAGCATAGATATTATATATTTATTTACTTTTTATTACAGCTTAAATGTGGTTTCTTGAGTAGTTTCAATACATTTCATTGAAGAAAAGACCATTTTGTTTAGCTTACACATAGAACCAAACAATAAAATTCTATTTGCTCTAAAAGTACAAAACGCATTTTGTGCAAAAACATCATTCCTGACTCTGAAATCGCTTGTATTTTTAGACTCTAGACTTCGGCAGCAGGAACGAATCACATACTTGGTGCCATTGGCAGAGTTTCTGTGTGCAGCTGCCAAAATCTTGATCTTGATTTGAGGCTTTAAGAACCTAAACTTTCATTTTGTTTCAAACAACCATACAGCTCCTTACGTCCACCTGAACTGTACCCTTAAGAGAGTACTTTTCTGTTTTTATCAGGATGCTGTCAGAATTTGCACTCAGATTTAAAGTTTTAAAATTCTAAGCTTCCATATTTGTTTCAGATATTCGTACAACTGATTACATTTCCAGTAATTATAGTCATAAGAATGTCCTTCTCCGTTTCCAGGACTTTTGTCGACTTGTCTCGAGAAATCACTTTATAAGCGCTTTTTCGTCTTTGGAAGGCTTCAAAAGTGTAGAGTTGCTTTTCATTTTAGGAACTAATCGCATCATAACGTTTTGTAAAACAATAAGAGAAAATTCTCACCAATTCCTGTAAAACAACGAGGCTTTCTAAACGCTATCAAAAGATAACTTTTTACAGCTGTTATGATGCGATTTATAGCTGTTCGAAGAGCTAGTTTATGTGTTCTAGTTCATTTATTTTTCAATCACAAAGGAAATTTTTTTCAAACATATTCTGAATCGGCAAGGTCTGATAATCGAAAAACCACACCAACTTTGAAAAGTCTTACCAGTAGGCTCGAAACCAAGTTATGTGGAACAGTCCGAGAAAATTATACCAGTGTTATATTAAGTTTTCTAACCATTAATGGTTATACCGTCAAAGATGAGAAACCAGAACCAAAAAATCTCAAAGAAAAAGCAAACGTTTTTTTCATGGGGAAGAAATTATGTGCAATGAGCCTTTCGCGGATACGTCTCACTGCTATTTACTGACTCCTCTTTCTTTAAAACAAAAATACTCATTTAAAATTAGATGTTTCCAACAGCAGCGATTGGTTTCAGCGATTCAGTTTTTGGCTTTTGCTAAAATTAGGCAGACAGACCGCGAAAACTGAGCCGCTTATTTTATTGCTCCTTTACTATATCCAAAAGTCATGAATTCTTCATTATTTGAGTAAATAACTTAGATGCTATGAGCCAGGTACAATGTCGAATTTTGTACAGCATTCGTCCATGAGCAAAAAAGGTGTGAAAAACGTTAAAGAAGGAAACCGAAAAAGATGACTAAAAACAGAAATTTTGGTGGTCGCCAGCGAAACTTTGAGCATTTGTGATGTCATGTTTTTCTGCGCGGAGCTGGCTTGTTGCCAAACTTATTGGGGCTGTAGTGGAACATCGTGCTTGAAATTTCGTCTAATTCCGGGCTTTCTTTTTGTTAATGTTTTTTTTCGCTGTTGGTGTTTTTGATCTTTGTTCTGAAGGCACTGGCTAGAGAATTTTTTGGCTTTTTGAAACTATTTTTTGTTTTAATGAACAGTATTAGTTCTTGAAAATTTTTTTTTAATTTCTTTCTGTCTCCCTAATTTCCTAACAATAATTAATTTTTTACATAATCGTTTAGATGTATTAGAATTATTTGTATAGCTGTTTGTAACTCAAACATAAATTGTTATCGAAATCCCATTATACTGTTTACATATGTGACAGTCGATCTTTGTTACTCCCACTAATATTTTTCAGCATATGTGGGTAGATCCATTTTTGAATCAGCTGCGAGAAGCGTCATGGCCTCATTGGTTGGAACCCTACGTAGAGGTTTTGCTGTTGTGGATATCCTGGGCTATTGATTATGTCGATTGGGATTACTTGGAGGTATCATACTGCTCTTTTTTTTTACATCTGTAACTCTTAAACGTAGTTTTAAAAAATGCAGCATTATTCAGAAGTGAGCAGGCAAACGTTTTTGTTGGATGTATAAGTCTAACGTTTGTCTCTTTCCATCGATGATTCTTTAAAACTTTATTTTTCCACTCCATTTGGATCCTTGTTTATGATTATCTGTTGTTTTTTAACATCATAGTCTGGTACCAGTATAAGCTAGTATAGCATCAGCTTCTTTTGGTTACAACTAAGCACGTATCAGTTATTTAGTATTTTTCAGTATCTTACTTGGTTGTTCCTTCCTTTATTTCTCTGCTTTTTATTACCAGTAATTTTGCTGCTATTCATATATGGCTGTGCTATTTTCTTACACGTTTACGGGCTACGAAACCGAATACGTGAAGCGTATGCGGATAGTATCTGGGATGGTGCAAGAATCAGTGTTGCATCATTTTGGGATGCGGTTGGCCATATATGGCATGGTATGCTTTCATAATCTAACTCTTATTACATCTAATGAAGTTCCATGTGGTAAGTAGATACTGATAACATGTGGAATTTGCTCCAGTTGTTTAACTTAGTTTTACTTCAATGATCTGAAGGTTTATTAATGATAATTAATTGTTTTCATCTGTCAAGGTTATGAAATTGATGGTCTTGAATATATACCAGATAAAGGTTCAGCATTATTGGTATATTATCATGGAAATTTACCTCTAGACGTTTATTACGTTATTGCCAAATGCTTATTACACAAAAAACGCACTCTTCACTGCGTTGGTGACAAGTTCATTTTCAAGATTCCTGGTAAATATTTAACTTCTGGAAAATGGGCTTATATAATTCTGTGTTACCTGAAAATAATCATTTTGTTCTCAGTTGGAGGGAGTGTTGTCACATTATCTTAACTTGTTTGTAGGATGGGGTAAAATGTGTAAAATTTTCTGTGTAATTCCTGGTACACGAGAAGATTGCATTGAACTTCTAAATAATGGCCATCTGTTATGTATTGCTCCTGGTGGCCTTCGAGAAGCTCTATTCTCAGATCCTGCACGTTATAACCTTATGTGGGCAAAAAGGCTTGGGTTTGCTCGCGTAATCGTTGCTACTAACACGGTAGTGTGTCATTTTTTATTAAGGTTTTTTCAAAAATTTCTTTTTACCAAATCTGTTTCTTGTTGTTTTCTGACAATTTGGCTTCGTTCTCTACTGCATTTTTCAGGTAGTTATACCAATGTTTACCGAAAATTGTCGAGACGCGTTTCGAACTCCGACTTGGGGAAGAAGTTAGTGTTTCATTATTTTTTGCCACTCAACCATTCTTTTCAAGGGGTGGATTTTGTAGATTTTAGGTTTTATTGGTTGGTAATCTGTATATAAAGTGACTGTTCATACATATGTATTTAGAGATGCTTCGTTGGATTTATGAAAAAACTCGGTTGCCTCTTTGTCCTATCTATGGAGGTTTCCCAGTTAAAATGATGTAAGTTTGGTTTGTTCATGTTTTGCCTCTATTTCTTCTATTCAGGTTCACTTGAATGTTCTCATTAATATCTATCTATGTGTGCAGTGGAATATGTATTTAAAATTGTTATTGCTATTTCTTACTTCTGATTATAGCACACATCTTGGGGAGCCAATCAGATTTCCAGAAGGTGTTACTCCCGAAGATGTTAGGAAAAGAGTAAAACATGAAGTAAGAGGTTTGATCATTAAACACCAACTCCTACCTGGTAGTATTCTACGAGGCATTAAGCAGAGGTGCTTGCTCACTAATTGCGCTGTTGGTCTAAATGAAATAACATTTTCTTATCCATTGGATGTTTCACGTATTCTTTCATTTCTTTCGATTGTTTTTACAAAATTTTCTGAACACGGAGTCTAAATTGAAGCTCTTTAAGGTTTTATGACAAGCGAACTGCAAAACAGGATATTTTGCTTAGAAATGTACGGGAAAATGAGGCAGCTAATGAGGAATTAGGACAAATTTCAGAAAGCAGTTTTAATAACTCAGGATGCGTACTCGAGAACACCGCTGTTGTGAATGGCATTATTCGCAGGACTCCTTAATTCATATTCACTTCCAGTACTTTCAGGAAAATCTCTGTTTTATTTAATTTAATCATAGTATACTATTCTTTTGTTGATCTCATTAACCCTAATTCTTGGCTGTTCCGTAACACTTAACGATTGTTCGAAATGGTTGTTTAAGAACACAACTGAATTTGATCTAGTCTAAGTATTTTAGGCACACTCCATTGAGTTACATAGCAGTTTACATGCTTTACTCTGTTATTCCTACTTTGAAATGGATTGATGGATATAATAATATAGCAATAATATGGGTCATTTACAGTTTTTTCTCTGACAGTTTCTTACGCTGAATGGCATTGGCTAACTGAATCTGTTCCATAGCATAATAGTTATTCAGAAGGCTGCTCTAATTTATAACTTATCTTCTGCTGCTCTACTGTTTATTTACATTCCATAATTTTTTTTTCTTAACTTTCTTGCAAACAGGTGGGTTTTCAAGGCTTTGTTTAGGATTCGTTAAGGTTTCTATTTTTCTTCAGGAATTAATCTTGTTAGTTTGAAATAGATTCTGGTGTAGTGACTGTGATGATTGCTGGCTTATTAACAATTATTTTGTTATTTCTTTTTATAATACCGATGCTTTTTGTTTCGCGATATTTCTTATTCTTGTAGGAAATTCCCAAGTGTTTATTGAAAGATCTCTCATAAACATTTCTCATGATCATACAAAATCAGTTCACCTTTTCTTCTCATGATATTAGGCTTGTGAAACTTCTCCTCGACAAAGATTTCGTGTGAAGAGAATTTGTTCTGTACAGTTATTCTGCAATTATTATCAGGCGGTGCGTATTACGCAGTATTCGTGGTCGTAGTGGTGTTGTTGGTGACAGTTTTATTTTACTGTGGTTATATTTGATTAAATAAACTTCACAACATACTTGCTGTTAGAAATGTTACCCGTATCACATAATGATTAATAGTCATTTAAACTGCTTCAAAGTCAAAGGCGCGCAGTGGAACAGGAAGAGATACAATATTAAGAAGTGGATGTGTATTCGCAGTTAGTTGATGCGTTAAGTAGAGCTTCATGGCGACTTCTTGACGTTTGGCGTCCAGTCGTAGTCTAAGTAGTCGAGATTATAGGACTTTGAGTCGGATAAACGTTTTAAGTTGGTTCGACTCGTACTGTCCTTCATGTGGGCCAATATCCATTGAATAAGCTAAAAATTACATTTTTTTCCTCAATATGAGTCGCCTTGGCTCAGGTCTACGCGTTAATCTAGCTCTTATTGGGTAATGAATCTAGAAGGGTAAATAAGGTGTCATTGTTTAGCTTACGTTGATGTTTTTTTTAGAACTAATACATTATTTTTAACAGTGGTCTCGACACTTACATTATCCTGGGTCAGTCCGAAATCAGCAGCATACCAATTGAATATTGGTGACACTGCAACAGTTTTTTTTATAGGGTCGATCAGTAAATATTCCTCGCTGGCAAGTGCATTTTGGGTTGCTTCTGTGAGTTCATTTTTTAAATTCTAAATTATAGTTCATCAAAAATTAGAATTGATGGCGATAAACTTACAATTACTGGAGTTGAGAGTAACGAAAAACAATGCAGAATACAATTTACAAAAGAGAAACTTACTGTAGCTGTGTAAAGACGTATGGGATTTGTTGATCGCGACGAAGAAGTAATAGCGAAGAGCACCGATGGATCTGGATTTTTTACTGTCAGCTGAAATAATGTAGTTAGTTACTTAAAGCGCCAACATATCAATTTATTTCACATAAATATCTTCTGTATTTTTTGAATTTTAATAGTTTGCTAAAGTAACAAACGAAAAGCTATTAAACTGTATGGCAATATTAACAGCTGTAAGAGTGTTCAAAAAATTTCATCAGTATTTGACTGATTCCAGGAATCAGTTTCAATCAACCTTTCTGCGATGGTCGGTTTTCCCAAATGGTTTCCAAAGCATTTCAAAGCTTTTCTTGTTACCACGTAAAATTCCATTCAGTATAGATTGTAATGAATACAATTTTTTGTCAATCAAGTAGTAGGTGTTCCACATCAGCTAAAATTAATAAATGTGTATTTTTTGTTGGTGTTTTTTCACTTTACCACAATTAGTAGAAACGCTCTCCTTATGAAAAAAAATTCTTCATTCTTTTGGCCTTCGAAACCTTCACAGAAGCCAATTTGGCATGCGGGATGCAGTTGGTAAATTGATGGGAAATAGTGAGAGATTTGAAAAGAGAGCTTATAAATGTTCCATCTTGTGAAAAACTGTATCCGTACAACTAGTTCAGAACTTTTGCCTAGTAAAACAGTAAGAAGCAAAGTTGTTCCGAAAACTTCTAGAACTTACTGATGTTAAAACATATTTGCTTGTACCGCGTGAAATAGCTGGTCCAATGTTAGTTAGTAATAAAAAACGAATCACTTATTGCTCAGGCAGTTTTATTAAGTCGGAGCATCTCGAAAACCGACTTAGAAAACCAAAAAAGGTGAGAAGAAGTGGAAATGACTAAAGCAAAAAAATGTACACTTTTTTCGCTAAGTAGGGTAAACGGTGGAAAACCGTAGTAATTACCAATACAATATGTGTTGTTTTTTCAACAAATGCACTTCTTTACTGCTATTAGTGGGTAAAGTAAGGGTGATCACTTAAAAAATGAAGCAAATTTATCATTTAGAAGTTTATAAGCTACTGATTTTCCACACTTGTAACAAGGACTAGCTCCGATTTACTAATTTTTAGAGTATCGGTAGAGTGCAGTCATATTATTATTGTAAACGTTTTACATTACCTTTCGCCGTTGCCAAATGTTACTAGGATGTCCAAATTTGTGATGGATATGAATCAGCATTATGTTGTAAATGTTAAGAAATAAGGCAATCTTCACATCTTCTGGTGTTTCTTCGGTAATTTTAACTCGTTGCAGTTCAGTGCAGTAAGCCAGATATTGTTTAAAATTTTCGCTGCTCTGTAGACAAGCATAATTGACAATCTAAAAGATGAAAGTTAAACATTTTGGGGAACTAATCTGCGTTACGTGAAGAAAATCATTCGTAATTCTCATTATTTGAGTTGAAGAAAAAAATGCGAAAGAGAATTTTCACAATTCAAATACATTTTTCAAAATAAGTAATAATAGAAGCAAATCTTTTTATGCAGGCGAAAAAATATTGTACTCGATTATTGTTTGACAAAATCTCTTCGTAAAGTGGCGTTAGCACTGCTATCAAAATTTGATTCACTGACTCGGCATCAATCGGGTCCAAAGCTGTTGGACCTTGATTTAGTGCCTTGGCGCTTTCTGCTTCATATACTTCGTAAAATCTGTAATCTCAATGTTTTTACGGATAATATAAACTGAACACAAAAAAAAATTTTTTTTAAATTTTATTCACCTGTCTGGATCAAAAGTTCCATCCGAATTTGTCAATTTCCTTAACTTGCCTTCTTGAGATACGAGCTTTTGGCCTAGATCGATCGCTTCACTCCGTTCTGAAAATTTTCGCTCTGAATTATAGAAGCAGCATAAAGCAGTTGTCAGAAAAACAAAATTGTTGCTGTCTTCTGTGGTGTTTTTGTAGTTTTAAAGTTTTGGGGGGTCTAATTTTAGACGCAATAGCTTAGGTTTTTTACCAAAGAACCCAATTAATGTTAGACATCAAAGAAACTGGCTTACTAAGTTTTTTCTCGTTCATTATCCATTTAATAAAGTCTTCTCCTTTAAATGAGTTCCTGCAAAGTTTCTTGGTACCAACCAGATTATCTTTAATAACATTTGCTTTTTTCATATTATTAAGTAGGAGTGTGTATTCGGTATTAGGTGGAGTCGCTTCATCAGCAGAGTTCTCTAAACTTGAATGTCGCGTTCATTTAGAATCATTGCTGATAACGTTGAGTAATTCATCTGTCAAAGATAATATTGACAACATAGCTGTTGTCAAGTTTTGACTAAAAGACAACAAACCACTTTGTTCATCCATACTTTCACTATCTTCAGAATATTCACTCTTACATGCAGAAACCTCAGGTTCCGGTAAGGAAGGTGCATCTGATGGAGGTTCTGTGGTCCTAACCATTTCCATTAAAGCGTCTAGTCGGTTTTCATCATTAGCCTAAAGAAAAATTTCAAATGAAAACATTGTACAGTTTAAGTACACTACAATAACAGTAAATTTTAGCCTCCATTTAATGTCGTTTACGGAAATTAAACTCAATTTACATTCTTATAAAAAGATTTTACTAAAATGAAAAACTGCATTTTAAAATAAGGAGATAGTATGTATAAGGAAAGTTTATATATCACAAAGATTACTTAACAATGTGATAATGTCAAGTATTTGAAGTGTTTGTCAAAAACTATCAGAAAATTGGATAAAGGAAAAAAAAATAGATGGTATTAATAGTGACCAATTGCTGCAAACCCTCAAGTCCTCCAATACAAATTTCATTGAAAAAAATCTGTGGAACAGTCTTATAACCAGTCAACTCCTCCATTTCTGTTCGACACTGCAAAAAACCGATAAATATTTGTTTATGTAGAATGCAATTAAATTTTTTATTTTATCAACATAGATGTTAAAAAAAAAAGAAAAGTTAAAGGTGAAAACAGCAAATTGTCTACAAACATATGATAACTAAGGTACAGTTAAGTAAACATTATACAACATTTTATGTATTGAGCAAAGTATGATGTAACAATGATAAAAAACTATTTAGAATATTAAAATTGTTTAAAAGTTGGTTATCCAAATAAATAAATAATTGATTTAATGGTAATGTTGAACAGATTTATAGTTACTTTTTTTTAGCTATATCAACTAAAACAGAAAACAATTTCGCTTTTTTTTTTTTTGGTTATGTGTGTATATGTATTTAGTGACATTTAAAAAGCAAAAAAAAAATAACTTATTAATTCTGTCATCTATTTGCTGTAAGTATAATTCTAATTTGTATTAAATTAGCCAGAAAAAATTTAATAGCAAAACTTAAGCCTACAATAGTGATTTGTTAAATTTGACAGAAAAGAAGTTTGTAAAAATTGAACTGGAACTGTCTATGCCATTTTGCTGCAGCAGAAACAACAATTTACGCTGTCGGATACACAGTAACATCCATTTCAGTATTCTTTTATATGTGTAAAAATTACCTCTGAAAGTTTGCTTAATTCTGTAAAAGATCACTTTCAACCATTACTAATTTTTGAAGAATTAAATCAAAGACACCTATCAGCTCCAATACAGTCAAAACTTACTAGTTTTAATTCTTTTTTTTTTATAATATTAGGTAACTTTAATTACTAATATTTACTGCTATTTTAAAACAGGAAAAAAAACACTACAGTATTGAGTCAGCAAACAAGTTTCTCCAAGTTAACTTATAAACAGAAAATTTAGAAAAATACCTGTTGTATCAAAGATACTTTTGTTTTTTTGCAATAAAAATTATTAAAACTGATTATAGCTGTTGTAAAATTTGTAAAATATATAAACATAAAATAATTTTTTGCAAACATTTATTTTTTCCAACTCTTAGATTACAATTCTATTTGATGTTTTACAGTAAAAAATTTTTTGTACGACCAAAATTGGAAATTTTTCTCTTAAAAACGTACCTGTGGAAAAATATCTAACGGTATATCGATAAACGGTATGTTTAACGCAGTTAATTCCGTTCGTGCTATACGACATTCTTCTGAATCAGAGACTGAGTAGAGTATAATAGTACCCTTAAGATCATCAATCATCACCAATTTTAGAAGTCGAAACAATTGAATACTGAAAATAATCCAAGATAAAAACATTTTTTTTCCTCCTCTATACGTATGTAATTAAACCAGCGATCCTTCTTTGATAAACGGTAAATTAGCAAATAAGACAGGAATAATCATTCATTTTATGCTTCAAAATCACCAAAACAAAACCACAAAAGTTAAAAAACGGTAAATCAAAAAAAAAAAAACCATAACATTTTTTTTTATCAATAAAAAGTGTAAATTTTTTCAGCAATAAATATTATAGATTTTCTTTTTCCTATAAATTGAACACGGAAATAGCAAAATGAAATGACGCTTCTTATCCTTCCATTTAAATAATTATGTTCTCAGACCTATTTCAATAACATTTTTAGATTAGTACATAACACTTGAACTAATTGCTCAAATAAGCTAACAATAATCCATACGTTTCTTGCAGTGAAACAAATAAACAGTACTAAAATATATTCACTGAAAAAAAATGACAGAATTTGAAGATGATTTTTAAGCCTACCGTTGTTGTGAAAAATTTCATTTTAGAAATTTTGTTTAATCAATGTGCAAACAGATGTAACTGCATTTATATGAAGCAAAAAAAAATACAGAGCAAAGCCAAATATCATCTGTATTACTTTAAAAAAAAAAAGAAGTAAACTCAACTGTTTAGAAGGACTTTTTTTCATCAAAAAATTGCTGTTAAACAATTATAACTATTTTATTAGCTTTTAAAAACAAAAAAAAATAACTTAAATATGTGGTTATATTTGGTTTAAAAAAAAAAA